GTCCCCGAGGTCTTTGCGGATGCCACCCATGATCTGTTTGAGCCTGCCGACCAAGGCGTCGTCGTCCTTGCGCTCCCACTCCATGAGGTACAGCATATAATCGCCCCCGTTCGAAGTGAGTCGCTGGCCTGTCGGGGCGGGAGACGATGCATCGAAGTCCAGCGTCGCGCCGTCGCCGTTGATGATCAATGCCTTCTGGGCCGGGACGAAAGTCGGGGCATTCGTGGATGCCGAGTTGTTTCGAAGTGCCCAGGGTCTGTACGCGGTCAAACACCTCGGGCAAGAGTATCGTCCGTGTTGCGAGGCAATCGAGTAATCCCACGAGATCTGTCGGAGCCAATGGTGATTGTGTATCACCGAAGTGCAGTCCTTCGAGCGGCAGACGAAGTGCTGGTCGATGCTGTCGGAGACTCGAAACAACCAACCGGTGAGTGGCCCCTCGTTGCTGATCATGTTCCAGAACTCGTCGGCGTTCCAGTGAGGATCGATGGCTCGAGCAATCGTCGTGACCTCCCATTGGGCGAAGGCCTGGAACACTCGTTGTTTCTGCGACTCGTCGAGCTTAGCGAGGTCCGCGACGAAAATGTCGGTGAGGCGAAGGATTCTCGCTCGAACTTCTCGTCGTACACTCGACTTGGAATCCCCCGGGCGCTCGCGTTCGATGTCCTCACACATTTGCTTCCACGAAGCGCTTCGCTGTCTCGCGGTTTCCTGTGTAAGTCGCTTTCTGACGGAGTTCACCTTCTGGCAGATGGTGTACCAATCGGGGATGCTGATCGTGTCGCAGCGGGTCGAGCTCTTGCGGACGAAGGTCGGCTTTCGAACCCATCGGCATTTCGATGTATCCCAGTAGTTGTCGAAGAAAACTTTGCAGTAGAAACCGTGTGTCCGCTCGATGGCAATGTGCCACCCTGGAGGCTTGTTCTCGTGGTCGTCATCGCGGTCGTAAAGCCTTCGGCGATCCGTCTGGTTGTAAGGACTGTCTCGAAGATTTCCGCGTACCCCGACTTTGGCGGGTGAGAGATCGGAGTGCTCCGCATACCACACGAAGTCCTCGTTGGCCCCTGTCGCGCACTGGTAGCAACATCTGTAGTGGACATTGCGCCAATCGTCTTCACCGTCGGGGTTGACGGAGAGCAGGTAGTACGGCGGGAAGAGGAGACCACAGAAGGTGCAATCGAGGGAACCGTCGTGGATCTTGTCGGTGCTCGGGGTGCTGAAGTACTTGAGGTACATCTCCACACGGTCGACGTCCCTTTTGCGGTGGTCCTCGATCGATGCTCCGCGTCCGACGAGTTCGATGGGCATCCCGTTGTCGTCGACTTCCTCGCCGGTCAATTGTCGGCGCCAGATCATGGCAAGCTCGGCGTCCGAGGAATTGGGGAACTGTCGGCGTAGGGATGACATCGCAGTCCTCTCGGAGGCTCGCTTAAAAGCGATGATCTCGAGGGCCCCTTGTGTGTTATGGTCATCGTAGAGCCTTCGTTGCATCTTGAGAGCACGGCCCGCATCGGTGTCGGGGTCAACACCTTCCAAATATCGCGCGGCCGGCAAAACTGCCCCGGAGCTACTCCCGGGTGTCTGGGAGAACTGCTCGATGGGATCGGGCACAGTTGTCGAAGACTCAGGAAACTGTTCAATCGGGTCCGTGTCCATCGGGGTCTGACGGTGGCTTGCCATCACGTCGAGTGGGTCGGGAGATTCGGGGAGACACAGGAGGGCTTGAGAGGTCGAAGTCTACGGAAGCCAAGCAATCTCCAAGGAGAGAGCAGGCCCCACTACAACTAGCAGAGCCTGTTGCAAACCGCAAAAGTGATCCTACTCGGCAATTGCACGTTGCAGTCCTTATTGTCGTGTGGGGAGATGCAAGATGCGGAGTTGATGGTCGGGGTGAGGAAAACGCATCGCGGCGGAAGTCCCCCCTGCAACCAAATGTTGCAGTGACACGAGAAACTCCCGTGCGTCGCCGAGGCGGAAACGGGGTAACTGTGTGAAACTGACGAACTTCGGGACTGCCTAGTTGAAGGCTCGAGCATCTTCCCGAAATCGCAAAATGAAGGCCGGCGGCTCAGCGGCGATGATGGGTCGCATTCTCTCGTGTTGGGCGAAAGCACTCCGCATCGCCGGAGAGAGCATATTCGAAGCACAAGAGAGGATCGCCGAAGCTTGCTCACGGAAGAAATTCGTCATCGGCTCGAAGTATGGCATCTGTCCCGCGAAGATGTTGAGATTGTGGGCCGTGTGGCACCACATTCGGAGTCTGTTCATGCGGTCCTCCACCGATGTATGGCTCAAGTCGGAGAGGGACGCCGTCATGTTGTGCCACACCATCGAGTAGGTCAATGTAGTTCGGGGCTCCACGAAGTTGTTCGGGACGCCCAAGAGCAGGACCCTCTCCTGGAGGGTGTCGTCCTGCGGCGTGTGAATCGGGAGGTCGATGTACAGCCCGAACTGGGTCAGGTAGCTCCCGAAGGTGGGGCATCGAAGAACTTGTTCGAGGTAAATGACGCCGTCGTATGTGATCTCCCATGGGGCATCGAAGGCAAAGGAGGAATACGGGTGATTGCCAGGAGGCAGCATCGCGACATTGTGTCCGCCCACCGGTGTCATCGCCTGTAAGTTCGGGGACATCATCGGGAAGTTGTCGAAGTGTCTCAAAGTCTGGAAGCCGAACACTGGCTCGTGTGAGACCGGCGGATTGGAGCGAACATCGTCGATCGATGTCCTGCCCTTGTCCACGACCTGTGTGTCGAGCCACTGTACTCGAAATCTTTCGAGGCAGGACTGTCGTGGTGGCTGCGGCTGAACCGCGACTGGCACACTCGTGTATGGGCTCCTCAGCGAGTTCGTAATAGTCGAAGAGGATGCCGCCCCAGACTGCGTCGCTGCCGGTTGCAAGACTTGCCTCGGGTCGGACCGTGACAAATCCACCGCTGAGTGAACCGAGAACCTCGGCGGCACAACAACGCCAGATCCGGTCGAGTCGCCGGCGTCGGGGTAGGGCCGTTTAGGCATAGCCTTCGTCTTTGCCCCCACGATGGTCGTGGTGGTCGTCGTGCCAAACGACGGATTGATCCACTCGGAGTGGGTTCACCACCGTCGCTGTGGCCGGGTTGTTCGGCTGTGTCACCGGAGTACTAGTAGTCGCCGTAGTCGGAGGTGTTGGCGGCTCCGTAGTATCATCGTCATCATGCCAGGGGTCCGGGGACGAAGGTCGAGTCTGTTGTGTCGTGGTAGTCGGCGGGGCAGTCGGAGTCGGAGCCGGGGTTGAGGTAACAATCTCGCCGACGGTGCCGCCGTCGGAGGGAATCGAGGTCCCGAAGTGGGGAAGATATTCCCTCGTTGCGGAGTCGATGGTTGTCCCCAGGTTGCCGGAGGTCTGGAAACTTCACGGGCTCGTCGAGGAGAGCGTCCACGGTGGTTGCCTTCGGCGATTTCTTGTCGGAGTCTGGCCGCGGCATCCGACTTGTCCCATGCTTCGAAGTCATAGTACTTGGAGAAGTTGGTGCCGAAGTTGAATTTGCGCATCTCGGTGTGGCGGAAAGTGGCCATCGTGTCCATGAACCACTCGCGCGCCTGTTCTCGGGTCACCTGCTCGATGAATGCACCTCGTGATGAGTAGTTAAATGGAGGTTCGTCTCGGCGTAATTGCCGTTGCAGTACGAAGGCTCGGCGCATAGCTGCATCGAAGGTGTGACCGTGTTGGTTCCAACAGGTATTGTGGTACTCGCAGCATCCCTGGAACCATTTGTGGCAAATTAGATTAGGCACCACCCAGACTTTGTTGAGGAAATCGGGGTGAAGGTGCACACAGTTGTGCATATTGCAGTTCTTAAGTTCGAGGATTCGGGGGCAGATTTGTCGTCGTATCTCGGAGACGGGGACTCGGGCTTCGTCGCGAACCTTCTCCGGGAACTCGTGTAGCATGGTACTCGGCACCGGTGCAGTGAAATTCGAAGTCGATCCCTCGCAGAGAAAGTCGAACCAAGAATCGGCGCGAGATTGTGCCATGGCTGCGAAGTTGCTAATCCAAATCGATGGAGGTCGAGTTGGTGGGCTTGAGGCGCCCTTCGAAGTTTCGTTTTCGAGCTGTAGATGCAGCGGGTTCGGGATTATGAAGTTCCATGCCGAAATCGTCACGAAAAATGTCTGCCAAATGCTGATTATGCAGATCGGTCTCATGTACAAGAAGAGCAGCATCGATGTCCGCTGGAAGGGGTACATGATCGGAATCGGGGTGTAGGGAAGACTCGACGATATCGAACGGTACCGTCAGCGGCTCCGCGGAGTCGTCGCGATTGGTGATATGCAGGTACAGAAAGGCCTCGAGATTGGGCGGCTTCAACAAGGTCGCCGCCAGGTTGACAATGTCATTCGCAGTTCGACACTGAGAAATCTGGTCGATGGCCTTTCGAATTTGTCGGGATTGTCGTTTGTTCCAAGCTCCCCAAGTCACGTCCTCGGGTTTCTCGATCTGGAAGTCTTCGAGAACTTGCTCGCGGCTGAATTCTTCGAGCGATTCCTTCAAACTGTCGACAACCGACAGAGAAGCCGTAGTGCTCGAAGTACTGGCCGCCAGCTGCGGTCGTAATAGAACTCGAAGTACTGGCCGCCAAGAGCGGCTATGACCGAGGAGTTATGCGAGGGGACTGAAACAAAATTTCGCTCAAGCTGTAACAGCTTTCGCCAAAATGGCCACGGAGTATGCAATCGATCGAATTGAATCGGTGAGTCAATCCCCTGACCGATTCGGTGTTTAGGTGAGATAATAAGTTGTCACTTCGCACAAAGAAGTGTGTGCTGCACAACAAAAGCTGGTTCAACGGAAGGGAATGAGCAGAACCCGCAACTTCAATGTAGGGTGCTGCTATGTGCTATCGGGTCGTCATTGTCTCAATGTTGAATCCCTGTGATCAGAAAACCCAACTACCACATCTATATACACAAGCGCAAAACCGACGAGACCTGCTCAGACACAGGGAGCTCTCCGAGGGCGCCGCGCGGGCGTGCGGCCTGCCAGACCGCGCCTGAGCGATCCGACATGACTCACGCTCGGACAAGCCAGGCGAGGTTGATGCGACACACTTCCAGGATCTTCCAGGAATGTGCCCACTTGCGCATACAACGAGGGTTTAGGAATTAGGGGAAAACAGTTCAGGAATTGGAGAGAATTTAAGGCTTAGAGCCAGGGCCAGCTGGGGGGGGGTGTCAGACATGAACTCATTTGTTAAAGCTCTAGTGTTTTCGGAAAGGTGTTGATAAGAAGGTATCAAGGAGTAAACAAATTGCTGGAACCCTTTTTTGCATCCGGGCTTGGGAAGTCGGCCGGGGAAGGTGAAAACAGGAGCCGTAAACTCCAACACCGAAAACCGCAGTCCTGCACAATAGAGTCTGGAAACTCCAGGTGAGGTTACATATACACAAGCAGGGTATAAACTATAAAAGGCAACTAAAGGGCATGAGGTCTAGACTTCCCGCCACATAGCTGCACGCTCACTCTGTTTTGGCGGATGGGCGAAACACAGACTATTGACAAAACACGAGGCCGGTACCGGGTCGTGTCCCAAAGTCTCGTAGACTTGGATCAAAATATTTTCCGCGGCGTGGGACTCCGAAACTCATGCACTTGAGGGTGGCATGTTGTGTCATGCTCAAATCAGCGTGCGGTGGGCACAGGGGCTTGGGGTTGTGGGTTTATGTCAAGCATTCGGGTTCTACAGCTTGGCCAAACCGGACCTGAGCCGTTCGCCTACGCCCATTTGGTTTGCCGTTTGTGGCGGCCAAGCAGCCACCCCAAACCGAAAGCCCAATGTCAAGCTTGGCGTGGTTGACACGATCTGACATGCAAGGAAAGCGGCATCTGGCACTCGTACGGCAGGGAGCCCTGTCAGGGTGCCATCTGATCCGAGGAACGGTGAGTGTCAAGGAATGACCGGACGAAACAACGAAGAAGAAATGGGGGGGAGCCACACGAAAAGGCTCAGCGTGACAAAAGGCACGATAGTTACGTTGCTAACGCTGCGTAAGTAATGTCCCCAGGCGCAACTGGTATGCCCGCCGATCCCCTGCTTCGCATGTAGAGCGACAAGCTCCTCCGTACACACAAACCGTCAGACGAAGAAAGCATGCTGCGAGGCCAGAATATGAATTTGTTACGAATGGAGGCCCATCAAAGTGTCTGGTTTCCTGCTGGAACATGACCGATCGCAGGGTTTAAGGCCGTGTCAACCACGAGTCGTGCACAAGAAATCTGCAAACCCATATTCTGGGAGTGTGCCACTCTAGCTGTCGAGCTCACCGGTGTGCGCCGTGTGCATGTGTGTAGTTTCTAGCTACCACAGTACCGACATCTGCAGCAGGCCAAGCTACATCCGTAAACAAAACACCCACCCCGGTTTGCAGGAATCTGCGAAAGCAGTGTAAGCCCCTCGGCCCCCATAATGTACGATCTGCCCCGGTGCCTGGTTGAGCCCCGAGAACCATCCTTGTCAGGAAAGGCATTCGGGGCTTTCTATCGTTTTGAGTGTGTGGGACTCTTTGAAAGCAATGCAGGGGCCTGTGCGATCTTCGGTCAACTTCACATAGGCGTGTCAACATCGGGTATTGAGCATCTTCAAGTGCAGCTGGACTGGATTGCACGCCAAGCTGAAAAAAGTAATCTCCCTTCATCCAGACCGCAACCCCAACTACAGTTCCCAAACCGTAGGCACCTCCATCACACCCACAGAGTCTCCCAAAACACAATCCAGCACCAAAGCCTCCGAGTGAATCTTCCCCAATCGCCCAACGAGGTCTAGGGTCAGCGAAGCATACATATGGTCCCCAATACCTCCATTTAGGCTGGGCATTTGCGAGATAGGCTTGGTAACTTTGTTTTATTTTGAGGCGCTGCAGACCTCACGAGGGAATAAACTGGTTGAGTCGTTTGAACAGCTTCGGCTTGGAAGTGTTTTTGAACTTATGGTTCTGATTTGGAAAGCATTTGGGACTGTTGTGGGTGCTTGCAAAGCTCGTTTCATTGGACTGGGTGGAAACTGGTCTTAAAGCCTTGGGGGGTTTTGGGATGTGTCGTCTGGGGGTCGGCCACCACTAGCTCCTTTGTAAGTGAAAGGAGGACTTGCCACCTCGAGCGGGCACGCAACATCACAACTTAGCTTCGGCCTTGCCCCTCATGCCCTTGCAGCCCAGCATCTCACAAGCTTCTGCTTGAGCTGCTCGTCCGGCTCCGCATTGGCCTCCACTCTCGGGCCAGGAAGGTGACGATAATGTGCCGACGATGACGTGCTTTTTCTTCATTATTTCCATGTCGGTGAAAAGGACGAGGGCAGAGGTGTGCTGCTTGATGCATTTCGTGAGGATCGCGGCGAAGCTGTTCAGAATCCGCATTCTGCAAAACGAACTTGATAGCTCCCTGGCTTCTGAATTCTGAACCACCGCACTTGGAACCGTTCCACCTGCCAAACACCAGGCCTCTTTGGCCGAGACATCGAGGATCGGAGCTTGGGCAAGGCACCTCTTGAACTGCTCAGCTTAAGGGATGGGGTCTGTCGCAGTATTGTGCGCCCGCACATGGAGAGTTCGAAATACAAGCAGCGCAGAGAAACATGCCACCCTTGACTAACTTTTGCCTCTAATTAGAATGGAATTTGCGCGCCAGCTGCGTTTTGTCCAGGGGGCAGCTTAGCACCACGACCCTGTCATCTGAGCATGGCACAGGAGGCCCTTCGTGAAGAGGGGCGGGAAGATTTGCCTTAGTGCTGTGACGATCACCACCGCACACGCATGCTGGGGATGACTTGAAACTATCCCCTGGGTCAAGGTCGCTAACACGCAGCGTCCCTGGAACATGTCAGGCTGAGACCCGACCGGGAGCTGTGAACGGGGAACCACCATTGCTTCCCTTTGCTTTTTGAAGGCTTTGTCAGCACCGTGGCCCACTTCAGACCAGTGTCTAATCGGACTACCGTGAGTACCGGTGCTCTTCGCTTTCAGCTTGTGTGTGGAAGGGTGTCGGGAAAAGATGCGAAGACCGAGGCCCCGTCCTGTCTCAAATCCTATAACACTGAGAATGGGGCTACGATGCAAGGCTAGCGGGTGAGTTTGGATAGCCTGACCCTTGAGCTGCAAAAAGCCAACAACCGCAGAGCCCCTCAGTCTAAAAGCAAGAGCCGAAACTGCAAAACCCCAAGCCGGCCTGTTACTGCGAGGAGCGCTGATGCAAAACACGCTCAACTAGCCGAGGCTTCCACGTGTCTTTCCACACCTGACGCAGTTGTTTGTCATAGGGCTTTGCGGCTAAAGGGGCTAGAAGTGGTTTGCTCCCGCTTCGGCTTGCCTTTTCAGGTCTGACAGAATGTCTGTGTGACATTCCCAAACAAGAGACGCATCTTGAGGAGCCTAGGCAGCCAAAGACTGAAGTTCTGAGCCCTGAATCCCGAACAGCCCTTGGCCTGAAGCTTGGAACCCTGGAGATCTGGCAGGGCATGATACTGAATCCCAGCCCGATGCATTTCGGGGAGAGGATACTCCAAACCCTAACTGGCCCTATCCCTCGATGCCCCCGACCTCCAGCACTCGTAGTAAGGCACTCTCGCCACCTGGGCAAACATGGGGCTGCCAGTTGGGACTGTTGCATACGGGTAGATTTGGAGATGTGCCTGTGTGTGTGTGTGTGCTCACACAGCTTGTGAAAACTTGACTTGGGGCGTGCTCGCACACCACCAAGGGACGAGGGTGGTGTGGCAGCAAGTGAGGCTTCAGGATAGCTGCATCAACAATCGAAGAGAGTCCAGACGATGCTGTGTGGTGTCTAGTAGATATAATACGTATATATATATATATATATGTGTAGATATAGACATAGATAGCTAGGAAGTATAGTATATATCATATGGTATATGTATATGTATATGAAATGCACTGCTACTGGGAGTGCTTACTTCGATTGACGACGACGAGTACTGTTATCAGTTACAGCTGGGTGATTGGAAACTTGCTACTGTAACTGCCGCTGCCATGACCGTCGTCATCATCGTCATCGCTGCCATCCTCATTCTTTCGGTGAACGTGAGAGCTAGGATAGTGGTGGTCATCAGCACTATGAGCATGACCGATGTCACTATTTGTTCTTTGATGGTTACCGTTGCTTGTAGTCTTGTCACTACGATCACCGCAACGGATCAAGGCGGCCCAGGGTTTTGAAATCCGAGGCTCAGGCGTTCCTTTTCTTCAGGGCTCGCCAACTTCTGGAGCCAAAGCCGACCTTAAAACACTAATAATATCAAAAATATCAATAATACTAATACTACTAATAATAATACTAATAATACTAATAATAATCTATGTACACGTGCAGATATAGATAACAATGTGAGTAGATACTGGAGTATGTGTATATAGATGTGTAAATATCTATATATATATATGTGTGTGTGTATACGTATTATATACTCATACCATATACTGTATATGTCGTATATACGTAATTTCGTAATGTATATATACACACATGCATACGATACTTGTCATGAGCAGCCTGGCGAATAAATCACATAAGCACGGCACTAAGTACCTGCATGGCTGTGTATCTGTCAGGTTACTTCAGATTCTCACTAAGGTTACCGGTTACCTGATGGACCAGTTGGTGAACTTATTAACTGAGTTACTGACAACTACTAGCGTTAAATCAACTGGTTCATTACCCGGGCAGTCTATAAGGTTAATTAGCGCAACTGCCGAAACACTGCATCGACTAACCAGTGGATCAAGTTCAGAGTTTCAGACACCTTGAGGTTCGAGTGGGTGTAAGTACTCGTGTTTCCCAGAGCAAGCCCCGAATCGCCTAGCCTTGGCCATCTCCAGCTGAAACTAGTCAAGTGGTCACCAACATTTAAAGCTGCAGCTCAATGGCACATCACATGCCATGCAAAGCATGGATGGAACAAAAGCTGAACAAAGTGCAAACCACTCTCGCACAGTTGTAGGCTACCGGAGACGATTGTAATGATATCGGCCTGGGCAACTACCTGCATGCACATGAGGGGGCCTGGTTCCGAATGTAAGGATCACTGGGAAGGATGCAACCCGCCATGTCAGAAGTTGCTATAGGACCATAGGACCTGAGAATGCTCAAGTGGCGCGTGCCGAGCAAAATCAAACTAAATCCCCTCATTTCAACATGCCTCACCCCAGAACTCCTGTGAATCCACTCAACATCAAGCCTCAAACCCCGGATCGCTACATCCCTCGACCCTAGATCCATAGACCCCAAACTTCCTCGGCCACCTGACCAAGCTTCTCGAACGTCTCCGGAAGCAGCTCCTGGTCTTGTCGTGCCAGCTGATATACATAATGTATGTGTATATATATATATATATATATATATATATGTGTGTGTGTGTGTGTGTATTGCCATTACTGTGTGTATGATCGTCAAAGTACGTATGTAAGCAATGGAATCCAATATGTATGATGTATGCTACTGGTTTTTTGCAAAGCTATTGGTTACATATTATACATACATACATCCATGCATGCCACACACACACACATATATGTATAGAGGGGCTTCGAGACTAGTGCGGATCATAGGCCTACGTAAGAGTCTAGACACTGGCTTCTGGTGTTCAGTACTGTTCTTCGCCGACACGCCCACGTATGGGTTCGCATCACCAGCATGATAATCCAAACGCACTACCATCACCTTCACCACGGTCTTCATCGACCCAGCCCTCACCGCTGCCATGGCCTCCATGCCCATTATCATCACGGTGGTCACCATCACGATGACCGTCAGTGTCATCAGCATCGGCAGCGTCAATATCACCACTCCGCTGGCTACGAATATTAAGAATAATCCCGACTAGCAGCTTCGAGCTTGCTGAAGCTGGAGTAAAGCAAGAGAGGTTCTGCAGATTCCAACTTGAGACTGCAAGGCTCCTGCAACGTGGAGCGGAACTCTGCGATCTGCGCTGAAACACTCGGCTGGGCCTCGTTTGCACTCAGCGAAACGGGATGCTTTGAGTCGGTCCAAGCCCGAAACACGTGACACTTTCTCGCGGGCATGAGCACGTCACTCAGCCTCGTGAAGCTTCTCAGTTTGTAGAGCAGCATCACGAGATAAAATGAGGCCATGATGACTTCTGCACTGGGCCCATGCACCGAGTTGTGCAGTATGTCGCTAACCTCGGATGGCTTGCAGCATGTTACACACGCACGAACTTCGCGAGCTCCTGGAGGCCAGCATTCTGCAGTTTGAAGACTAACGATCGGTTCCTGGCCTCATCACGTTGCACCACTCAGGGGTCTTGAGGCTCCAGCCATATGCAGTCGGATGATAGCCGCCTGGCACCAGCTTCTTTTCATGAGGGGTCAGCGTAGCGAAATAGGCCGCATATCTGGTTCAAAAGTCTACGTGGCGATCTATGTTACGCATGCTTGTCTACTACAGTATATGCAGAGATACATGCCCATGCTTGGGTACTTTCTTGCTCACATGCATTCGTGCATGCACATGAGACATGTGCGAACATACATACATATCTACATACATACATTGTACCACATACATTACGTTGCATTACATACATACATACATACATGCCATACATGTTAAACTACATTACGTACATTACGCCACTAATTACATTAAACGTATTATACGTGCAGTGCATTAATGCATACAACACAGGAATACATACATTGCATTAACACATGCAATGCCTACATGCCCTTGGCCCGGGCAAACCAGTGAGTCTCATCCCGTATATTCCCGCATGCAGAAACAGGCGGCCATGAACCATGACAACAGCCAAAGATATGCTCAAGCGACTTACCTTTAAGCACCAGTAAACAGGCGCAAACGCCGACACACAAATCCCTCAGACATGTCTTCAGACCCCTAGCAGACACATGTTCTACATGGTCAGCCGACGCTGTGTTCAACACCAGAAGCAGACTCCATCAGACCCTGTCCAACTCGGCATCCGAGATAAAGCGTGCTGAATGCGCATCAGTGGTGATGCCCCGGGGCACCTGAGCACTGATGTGGCATGAATATGTAGACTTGTGGGCAGATGAGAAGGTGTCTTAAATTCAGATTAGGCTTGAAACCTGATGGTTGCTGATGCTGAGGGGTGGCTGGGCTTGTAGGTTCGTGGCAGTGGTGCTGCGCCGGTTTGTATCAGCTACCTTCACATGGACTTGGTCCTTACCATGCAGTGGTCGCAGCGTGTCGGTTGCAGGCCATCAGACTCCAACTGTCCTCCACGGGCAATGACGATGCACCCATCCTGAAGATCCTATAACCTACTTCTGAGCCCAAAACGCAAAAGGGCGCTTACAAACCATTTGCGGAATCCCACTGGGCAAGCCTTGAACACACATCCGGTGCCCCGCCCACGAGCCCTAAATAAAGCCTCCACCAAGAAAGCCCAAAATCCTCTTTGTCTCAACTCTTCGTTTTGCTGCTCGCCAGGTGATTTTTCTCATTGCCTCGAAGCTATGCATGCTGAGCTCAGCGACTCCCTGTTGAGGGGCGATGAGTCTAGTAGTTTGGATTGTTTACAGTGATGCTGTGCTGACTGACGAAGTGTGAGCCATACAACATAAACGTGTCGAGATCGCCGTGCCGTGTGACAGCCAGCATCGGCCCAAGCGTAGAATGCCATCCCAGGCTCTCACCCTCCCAATGCCCGCTCGAGGTTTATGGTGCTGTGTGGTCTAGTCGAGCCCACAAACCCGAGATTCGGTGACTGGTCTGTGTTCATGGCGATCCAAACATTGATTGCTGGGCTGAGGCTAGACGAACGAGTGAGACCCCAAATCCATGAGCCACGAAAGGGGAGGCTCCTGAGCTCTGCCTGTGTCCGAGGGACTGAGAGAGTGCAACTTTAAACCATGTTGAAATGTTGCAAAAAGATTTGTTCGCCAAGTAAGCCCTTCACCGGCTTACAATAATCCTTGGGTCTCGCTGACGGCGCCAACCAATCGGAGCCTGTTGCAAGTTGCACTGGCGGCCACTTTCTTGTCCGAACGGCCGCTTCGTCTTCAATCAAGTGCGAGAAGAGTGGTTAGAGCCCTGAGCCTGAGATTTTTACAGCTCTATCTTTGCCAGATGAAAGAATTCAAATTTCCAAGTCCCATACTGACAAGGAGCTCAAAATACACCACGATACACCACGATACTTCACCCAGAGGCTCGATTAACTAGCAATGGTTGACAGTGACGGGGGCGGTTGGGTGGCCGGCAGCGCTAAGCGATGCCCAAATCTTCGCAGTCGAAGCAGGAATACAAGTTACAGTCGCAATCATAGTCGCTATCTAACAGTATGACGTCTGCCGATGTCTTGACCGGGTATGACCGTATCCGATCTGCTTCAAGTGCTCAAGGAACGAGTCGCAGTCAAACTGAGACCTGTGTCGAAAGCGCAGGGAACTGTGAAGCCCAGCCATGGGCTTCCCCCGCCGACAGGAGGATGCGGAAGCTGTGGTATTGGAGCAGCCTTCCACGAACTTCCCGTCGCTGATGCCTCCTGCCTTTAATCCATGTTTGCTCAGACAGCGCATTGCACCAGAGAGTGCATGAGAGATTGTCTCTCCTGACTATCTGATGCGGTGCCTGGACTCTTGTTGTGCCAAACGCCCTGCCAGCGGCTGGGAACTCTAATAAATTCTTGCACTGCCTATACACTCAGGGGTGCCGGATTTGCTTTGCTCGCAATCCGTCGTTAGCACATCCTATGACCAAGGCAAGCTCGAAGTCCAAACAACTCTGCTGAGCTTCTGCTACTTGGAAAAGATCTGTGAGGACACAGCTTGAGGCTTGAAGGAACATTTCCGGATTCCGGAGCTGCGCCCGTGCTGCTGTGGAATTGCCCGGCGTTGGCAAGACGAGCAACCATGATTGCGGTGATCAGGGTGATGTGGGAAGAAGCGGAAAAGCAGGAGTGGAAAGCGCGAGAGGTGACAATCAGGACGACAATGAAGACGGCGGTGGTAACAATGAAATGGTGCAGGTGAGCATCGCGGATGCTAGCATTGACGACGAAGAGTACAGTATGGTGTTGCAGCATGACGGTCCACAACACGTTGGCAAGCATACAGGTTCGGGATATCAAACACATTGCATCATCTTTTCCAGCTCACGTATCAGTACAATAAGCTCATCATCCATCTCCTTGTGCATGACCCCCTTATCCCATCATGATAGCCAAGCTGTCCCCTCCGGAGATCGAGAAAAAAAGGAGCTCCAAGGATCTGGTCCTTGCTGGAATGGACCAGGCCCCAAGTGGACTCATGACCGACTTATGTATGCCCATGTGCAGAAGTCCTTTCAGTGACCTGCGATTCGAAAATGCAATCAAGACCAAGGCGAGCCGGTGATCCCTTCGGGGTCTGGTCTGGATAGGGAAGCCGCACACCGAAGGAAATATGCAGTTGGGTCCGTTTTGGCGACTTGCTTGGCACGCCTGAGGTTGCTGGCCTCCACATCTTGAGGTGTCAGTATGCACCAGCATAAAGTCGCCAATGCAGAAAACACTCTTCAAAAGCGTACAGGCGGTATGTCTTCCACAACAGGGCAGACAGGAAGTTGGATTCAAAAATTAGAGGCGGGCAGGCAAGCTCAGCGCGTGTGAAACGCGGAGCGCCTTAACCTTTCTCTTAGGCCCACATCGAGGAATCGAGGGGATGTGCAGAAGCTCGCTTCTAACCCCAGGAACATGTGCTTTGGGGCTATCGTGCGGCGAAGGCCGCTGCCCCTGCAGTCAGAAGCCTCCCAAACGGTCGAAGAACGATGCTGTCGAGCATGTTCCCCGACCTTTGCACTGGCTCTAGCATGCCCCGACCACACCACTCGCAGAGTCGACATCGCTTTGGTTTTACTTTCCCATGGCACACGACAAAACGGCCTAAACCCGGAACCATTGCTTCAGCGTAAGACAGACAGTCACCGCTTAAGGGACAGGTCTGCCTTTGTTCGGTGTGGCCAGAAGCATCCAATCTAAAACAGTGGTGGTGACCGCCATGGTTTCATTGCTAGGCAGCCAGGCAGTCTATCTCTATCAAGCTTGATGCATGCGGGCAAACCTCAGTTTTGCACGGCACACGACATTCATACCATTGCATGCTCCTGCACACAATCACGACATCACGCGCTTCAAGGACTGCCCGCTTGCTTCTCATGCTTTTCTATGCGCAGGAGGATTACGAGGGATCGCACCGAGGGCAAAGAAGCAGCCAGCAGATATTTCATTTTCGGCGGCCTGAGTCTGACCTCACCGAGCTTTCAACCTTACAAAACGAAGCCTGTTCGTCGAGATCTGTTCGGTGCATGACATCCCTCTTCACCAAAAAAACATGCACATCACTTGCGCAGGGCCCCTCCTCTATGCAAGCCCCTCAGCTGCAGCACGACACTACACCTGGCGCCGAAGATCAAACTGTGCTGTTTCAGTCGGCTTTGTAATCCAACGTTTCACGTGCACTGCACATGTCTTTCTGTTGCTCATCATACCAAACTGAATCCAGCTAAAACACTGCGTGCGTGGTGGAGGCCAGAGCTTGCGCTGCAACTGATGAGATTGTGGTTAGGGGACCCCACTTTTAAAGCTCCAAAGCTCAAACGCAGGGACGAGGGAATACGGAGACTGCTGCAAGCTCAGCAGTGTCTGTCGAAGTCCTTGTCCATGGCCACCATTGCCTGCAGTGTTAGGTCAGATGCTCAGGTTTGAGAGGTTTCTGGGTAAGCAGCTACTGTGGTACCAGGGCTTTGACCTGTGTGAGGCTATTTCGTGGAGTCTGCCAGTGCGGAAGCCCTCTTTCCTTCCGCTCTTCTTTGATCGCTCTTCGCTGATACGCGGCCTCGTGGCTGTTGTATCTGTTGTGTGAAATCGCAAATTCAAAGCTAGCGGCTTCGACCTAGCGATGTGAATCATCGGGTGTCTGCTTCCGTCTACTGGGTGGCATAGTCCGGCCGTGGCATCTAGGGCTCCAGCGCTGACGAAAGCCGGGAACCATTTGCAACACTCGGTTTCGGATTGCTTTAAAACGGACAAACAGGTCGCTTTCAAACCCTTTGAAGACTCTTGGCAGACTTGGCACTGCCAGCTGCGGCGCGACCTGCCGCAGCTGCATGGTCAGCCTCAGGTTCATCTTCAGAGCTTCCAAGGAGAGCCTGCGACTGAAGCATGCCAGAGATCCCTGAAAACCTTGTGCTCGAATCGCCCCATGGCCCAGGACGGTAGCTGATGTGCATGAATTTCACCGGCATTGGCTGCTGGCAAAATCGAGAGGATACCCCAAAACTGGCTCAAACCCAAAAAGATGGAAAAACCTTCTGAAGCCCTTTTGCATACCGCCAAACCCAACAGGGAACCTTTGCTAAGGGTTGCTTCAAAGCTGGTTGGACCGTCTGCCCCTGTTTCTCGTGCTGGGCAAAAGCTTGAACAAGAGTCAGGGCTCCTCCTCAAGCTCCTGACCCAGCCGTGACGAACCAGAGTGATGCAAAACAAGCAAACATCCCTGGGAAAATTATCGTCAACTGACACACCTACCCAGAATAACCCAACCTACGGGCGCCAGTAACAGGGGCAATCAAAGCCCGTCTGATACCTCTAATTTTTGCCAGAGTCGGCGCAGCCATATATGCAGAACAACAGTGGCACAGAATCCCGCTTCACAGAAAGCCGTTGAGACTACGCGGCCACCTTCATCATACTGCCAACACAGGCTTATCGCAGTGAAAGAGGCGACCATCCTAGGGCTTGTCTCAATGCTGCATAAGCCCAGGAGTAGATTTGAGTGTCAAAAACCGAAGAGTGAGCCAACCTGTGCAGCCCATTGGGCAATTGAGGAGGATTAGGTAACATGTGCTGGCAAGTGCACGTAGACAAGCAGGGCTGCGGCTCGAGCTTGTAAGTCTTGCACAACCTGTGACTAATCCGGCGGAGAGTTTGGGCTGGGGGTTAGTTACTCAGGTTGGTTTTTTTGCAATTCACTTTGTTCGAAGGATTCTTGTGGCTGCAGCTCGCAAC